GATCCAAGCACATTTCAAGCGGTCTTACTCACCGCAAGGTGATGTAGCCAGTGAAACTGACTGATTTGGCTAGTGGGGGCGGGGTGACAACTGTTGGCGAAGTAAAAGTGGCACCTGCATACGACATGGGCGGGTTGCTATGGACCCACATACTGAGGCAATAGCAAAGTCACACCTTAGTGGATCCAAAATAGAAATCTGATGTCAACTTACTACTCCCAGGCCGTTTTAGACGTCGTCACTTCCAGCCCTATGGTCCCACTTATCTAGCGCTGAAACTGCTGCGACTCGGAGTTTTTCGGTGTCGACTTGCCGTATGCTTGGCTTTCGAATGGTTATCTGTTTCCGCGAGGGAGGTAGAGCATGATCGGTGGATATAGATGCACTCTCCAGGTTGTGATCTGAGAGACCGTTTAAGAAGCAAAAGATGTCGGTCTGCACGAAAGCTGGGTTCACTGAAGGTGCAGAACGTGAACTAGGTGTATAGGAGTTAAGGTTGCAAATTAGATCTTATTCCAACAATACCTTAGTACCTTCCATGTTGGACGGCTGTTGGAATGCACACCCAGAATGTGCTACAGCTGATTGATAGTTATAGTTGTAGAACGGGGGGGGGGCGTTGGGCAGTATCCTGCAATGTTATCGTATAAGCTGACTGTCAAGGAACTGGTGGTGTCAGCGGACTTGTGTCAGTGGATACCAAAGGGTAACGTTTAGTACCGTGGTCCTTTTCTTTTCTACACATTTATCCTTGGCTCTCCATCCGACTGCCACTCACGTTTTTTGAATTAGTTTAGTTTTGAAGCTACTTTAAAATTATTTGATGCTGCTTACCATACATAAGATAATTCCGTTCATCAGTTTCCGTGTTCATGGCTTTGGTAAACTGTGTATGTGCGCGAGAGGGTGGGAGAGAGAGAGAGAGAGAGAGAGAGAGAGAGAGAGAGAGAGTGAGAGAGATAGAGAGAGATAGAGAGAGATAGAGAGAGATAGAGAGAGATAGAGAGAGATAGAGAGATAGAGAGAGAGAGATAGAGATAGATAGATGGAGAGAGAGCGAGAGACAGAGCAAGTAGAGATAGATAGATGGAGAGAGAGCGAGAGACAGAGCAAGACAGAGAGAGACAGAGAGCAAGAAACAGAGACAAACAGACAGAGAGAGAGGGGGGGGGGCTGTTGTGTGTCTGCGACCACTTGTGTCTGTGAACACGTGTTTGGGGGGGGGGGGCTGACTGAGACTGGTGACATTCAGCCTGCAAGGAGTACTGAGCTTGTCAAATGTATACGACTGCGAGTACGTTACTGCAACGAAAGTACTTGTAACAGTTATTTTGGTTGTTCAGCTCTTTGTCCGTTGAAGGTGCGTACCACATTGAAACCTTCAGGCTCCTACGACCGATAATGTTCTAAGCAACCTCTCTACTCAAATTCATGATAAAAGTGCGACGCCCTGTGATCTTGGTTCCACAGTCAACATGCCTTGACGACTTCCTAATCTGACAAAGATAGGAACTTGGGAAGCTACTCCATTGAAAGAACCGCAAGAATTCCATACAACAGACTTCCTTTCCTCATGAAATTTGTTCCAGAAATTATGTCAAGCACACTTTTTTGCAAGACTTGGTTGATAAATGTAAGAGTAGAATACGTCACCCCTGAAACTCGCTCGACTCCCACGTCAGATACTTTTACTTTCGTGATTTTCTAATTCCGGTACTTTCTTTTCTAAGGTTGCGTTTGGTTGGGCATTTTCAGAATGTAAATGACAACCATTCTGGAATGGAAATGGGTAAGAATCACATGACCAAACCACGCGCCAGAGTCAACTAGGAATCACTTGAGATAACAATAGCATGATAGGGAAATTTCGCATTTGCTACGAATCAAATGCGAAACTAAAGTTTGATTCGGCTAGTGATCGTTTCGTTGAAAATATATTCAGGTTTCGCAAGTCGTCATGCAAATGTGCCTGGCAACTACGAATACGGCCGGTAGCTTGGCGTACGGGTGTTTTCACGCACACGTGCATGGATCATTGAATCAAGGGAAAAATGTGTACCTGGCAAAACATGTGCACCTGGCAAAAAAATGTGTACCTGACGAATTCGGGGGTGCCACGAATGCAGAGGCTTCGTGAAAACGAGCTCTCTGCTGGGCCTAATCCTCGAACACAGGTGACGAATCAGCATTCGTTTCGTATCCGTACGCGTGGTTCGAAAGGTCCCTAAAGTCGTTGTGGAACGGCGACTCTCTTCTCTTTTACCCGACTCTAGTTTCCTTGAGAGAGTCAAGGCACTTCTGAGTGCATGATTTGAGGCACTTACACCTAAATCTACGTTGTTTGGCTCCTGGCAACCATTTTAATTTGTGATTCCGGAATGAGAATGCTTATTCCAGCATGGGAGGTGGAATGATCATTCTCAAAATTGAATCAGTCTCAGTGATTCCCATTCATGTATGGGACCAACCTAACGCACTTTTAGACCAACCACACGGGCGAGAATGATACCGAGTGATTCCCATTTGGGAATGTGACCAAGCAAACGTGACCCGAATGCGGCTTATCCATTCGCCTTCATATCATTGGGCCTAGTTCCCATTTTTTTTGTGCGAATTAAAATAAACCAACCAACAAAATATAAGCCTGAAGCTTCCCTTTAGAACGGGAATCATTGCGAACAGTTGGTCTTGTCTTGCTGAGGTGCGGAGTTTAAAGCTTGGTACGATCCTTCACTTGTGCTTGAGATTGCAGTTAACTTGTGAGTAAAATCACAAATCAAAACATGGACTCGAGTCGACGAGAAATTCTGCGAGCCGGCAACTTTCTTTGATATAATTATCGGTAAACGTAGACGTTGTGTTTGCTCGTGGAGATGCTAATATCACAGGGCACGTGTAAATGAACAATAGAGAGGTTAAATTTCATGTAAAACTCTTACGTCCGTGAACCTTCAAGTCAAAAGTTCAAAAAACTCACGTCAAATTGGACGCGTTTTCCGTAAGTTGACTGTCCCGCACGTAAGTTCGTGACGTGCGTTTTTGGAAGTTTCACTTGGTTATCCTGCCCGAATTTGTGTGAATTTCCGTAGTTTTATCGAGTTTCATAGAGTTTGCTGGAAGATTTGATATTTTGCATGAACTTAACCCGAATCCTGCCAGACAAAATTTCACGTCACGTCGCACGTGTAACTTAGGGTGCGTTCTTATATTCTCTAGCTTCTAGAAGAAGAAGCAAAGAGAAGTCGAAGAAACTGGGATTACTCAAGAACGGGTCTCGAAGAAGTCGGAGATATTTTGCACATGTCAAGCAAAATGAAGCGCCAAAGGGCCTTGAGTGATGAATGTAGTAATGCACGTGTGCGTATGCGAAAAAGAAAATGCGTACTCACGATGGACACGTGGCTTTTAGTCGTAGTTCGCATGCGCTGATCACAAACCGCGGGAATCTCCAAGTTTCAACCACCTCTGAAGCTTGGAGAGCTTTGGAGAGCCTCGTAAAAGTCGGAGAGGATATAAGAGCAGCTCTCGAACTTTTCGGAGAGTCTCCAACTTTTACTGTTCCGAGAGGATTTAAAAGAACGCACCCTTAACCTCTAAAATTTACACGTAACGTAAGATTTGCATCGTGCTTTAAAAAAAGGCAAAAACGTGTAACTTAACCTCTCTAATGATTACGGCGTGCGTTCGCATATCCTTGCATGAAACTGAGAGACAACATTAGGAAGCTGATCAAGTCAATGAGCAGGAAAACCGTGAATGTATAGTCTTTCAACAGGATATACAACTTGGTGCATGAGAAACACACTGCACACAAATGAGCTATGATACGTTTACTATTTATATATAATGAGTGATTCTCCAAAGACCAATGTCTAAGTCAAGGCGGGCTCCGGGAATTAATACCGGTGTGATGTACATGTACAAAAGGGTACAACTTATAAAGGATTAATCGGAAGGGGTTAATTAACATTCCAGTGCGAGTATTTCAAATGATGGGTCGAATTCGACCCACAAATGTATGGTCTGACGGTTAAAGGGTTAAGAAGTCTGCATAAAATCTAGCGAAACGGGTACATTTGAAGAAAGGGGGGGGGGGGTTAATAGTTAACAGGGTGTTGGGCACCGCGCTATATACCAAATCAAGGAGCTTTTCAAAACCCGCCAAACAAGAAAGTGCAGTGTTCCATATCCAGCACAAAGTAAAGGATTCAACCAGGACCAACATAATGGTTGACATACATATGATGTGCAGTGTAACGATAGGGAAAAAGAGGTATCTCGACAAGGGGTTAAGAGGCAGAAGGCGAGAATGAGGATATTCGAATAGAGAGAGAAAGAAAAAGAGAAAAAGAGAGAGAAAGAGATGGAGAGAAAGAAAGAGAGAGAGAGAGCGAGTGAGAGTGAGAGAGAGAGAGAGAGAGAGAGAGAGAGAGAGAGAGAGAGAGAGAGAGAGAGAGAGAGAGAGAGAGAGAGAGAGAGAGAGAGAGAGAGAGAGAGAGAGAGAGAGAGCGAGAGAGCGAGAGAGCGAGATAGAGAGAGAGAGAGAGAGAGAGAGAGAGAGAGAGAGAGAGAGAGAGAGAGAGAGAGAGAGAGAGAGAGAGAGAGAGAGAGAGGGGGGGAGAGAGAGAGAGACAGAGATAGAGAGACAGAGATAGAGAAACAGAGAGACAGAGAGAGAGACAGAGAGAGGTAGAGAGAGGTAGAGATAGGTAGAGAGAGAGAGAGAGAAGGAGGCAGACAGAGAGAGACAGACAGAGAGAGAGAGAGGCAGAGAGACATAGAGAGATAGATAGATAGAGAGAGAGAGAGAGAGAGAGAGAGAGAGAGAGAGAGAGAGAGAGAGAGAGAGAGAGAGAGAGAGAGAGAGAGAGAGAGAGAGAGAGAGAGGGAGAGAGAGAGAGAGACAGACAGAGAGAGAGAGAGAGAGAGACAGAGAGACAGAGAGAGAGAGAGAGAGACAGAGAGAGACAGAGAGAGGAGAGAGAGAGAGAGAGAGAGAGAGAGAGAGAGAGAGAGAGAGAGAGAGACAGAGAGAGAGAGAGAGACAGACAGAGACAGAGACAGAGAAATAGAGACAGAGGCAGAGCAAGAAAGAGAGAGAAAGAAAGCGGGAGAGAAAGAGTGAGAAACTTCAGCGAGAGACATAAGGGGGCGGAGAGAATTGGACGAAGGTAGGCAGCATGAGGACAATTTATTTCTATTAGCGGAATCTGCCAATTATGTGACGCAGCCACCGTGTACTGACCACATTTAACGGGCCTCTACTAGTGGGTTGATCAACCTCTGTTGTGTAGAGCTGGGAAAAGAGAGTAGAGAAATGAAAACGCCAAAAAGGGATGTGGCAACTCCTCAGGGAGCTCAAGATTTTTATACTAGAATAAAAAAACTCGGATGTTGAGCCAATAGTAATATGGAAAAGAAAAGGACGTATACGTTACGTCAGTACTAGTTAGGACTAACAGTCCACCCAGGTACCAAGATTATATGTATATAATAAATGTAGAGCCTAAGGATGTATTGCAATTACATACCAGTATAAAAACCGAGGTCCCCCGAGGTTTTTATAACTGGTATGTAATTGCAATATATCCGGAGGCTACTACATTTATTATACATATGTTAACCTTCACTTTCCCTAAAAAGGAGTATTTTATAAACAGTATTTATTGGCCCCAAAGCCAATAAATACTGTTTATAAAATACCACTAGGCCAATAAATACTGTTTATAAAATACGCCATTTTAGGGAAAAGTGCAGTGCTGCATGGAAAGGTGCAGTGGTATTTATTGAGTCAAGCAAATGTATTTGAATTTGGTACTGTTGATGGTGTGGTCACTAATGAGTGTGGGTATTTATCAAAGGTCAATATATGGTCGGATAGTGCGACATACAGGGTACAAAACTGACAAGGATGTTGAGACATTCGACGACCTCACACCTGGCTTCAACGCATCTACGAAGGGCAAACCAAAAACCTTCCAACCTGGAATGCTCAAGTGCAGAAAAGTCCAAACCGGAGAAGGGATGCGCCACGAAGATGTGCACGAGCTACGTCCCTCGGCAACAAAGAATGTCGAACTTTACGGGATGATGATGACACTAGTAAGACGATTGGACAAACCGGTCCAACTATAACCCGAACACGCAAGGCCACAGACAACCCAACTTGGAAGGCTCAAAGGTATAATTATACAAATACATGAAGAGGGCAAGCCGAGCGAGGACGTACATGTAGATGTCTTGGAGCTAGGTGTCGGGTGGTCGTGTTTCTCAAAATCCTCGTCAGTTTTGTCCCTTGTTGTCACACTGTCTTACTGTATAATCTTGTTACCTTGCAATTTCAAATTTGAACTTCACGGAGAATTTCAAAGTTTTAGGAAATTAGAGGCCACATGCCACGTACTACTCTTTTCTCTCCGAAACTCAACACTTGCAAGCCAGATATGAAGAAAGAAAAAAAAAAGAAAAAAAGCAAGGTCCCTGGTTCGAGTCCCGGTAGTGTGACTGATGATTTTTCTTTCTTTCATATCTGGCTTGCAAGTGTTGAGTTTCGGAGAGAAAAGAGCAGTACGTGGCATGTGGCCTCTAATCTCCTACTTCCTCCGCATCATTAAAATTGTCGCTTCGCGCATCGCAATATTTGTGACTTGGCTCGTCTTAGTCAGACTTTCGGAATCGTTGTTTTCTGTATTTGAACACTGGTGTGACCCTTCCTGCGCAATGTCTACTTGTCACTGAAGCCGTGGTGGTCTCGAACTTTGTCGGAGCTCTCTTCCGCACCAAGCGAATTCATCGCGCTCCGCACTATTCCGCCCTAGAGCGCATTTCGTTTTCTGGAGTTCGTGCCATCCCACATCGTTCGCCTGGGCATTTGGCAAGACTGCAAGCTCGTCGGGTATAAGAATGCTGGTATCTCTCCTGAATACAAATTGCTGAAGTTGGCGATGGCCAGAACAAAGTGGTCTCAAATTCCTAAAATGCGCTACTTGTGGAGCATGTTGCTGCGAAGGTAGCAGGTCTGAAAACACCAACAAAATCAGTGAAGCGCTTGCCAAGGAAAGAAAGTGCGGAACTGCTTACCCTGTCCCGCTGAAAGGTCGTTACAGTGTACTTGAAAAATGCTAGCTTGCCTTCATCGCCTGGCACCTGGAAGCATGGATCGCCTGAAAACGAAGTTTCTTGACCTGAATTTGAACGCGCGTCTTGTTCAGCGTATTGTTGAGTGCTGAAGGGTCTGCCTCAAACTCTGATGAAGACGTCGACCTTAGCTGCAAGTGCAGCGAAGCGGGGTCACAAACTAAAGCTTGGCCCGTCGACAATGCTCTGCCTCGATTTCTAGCTGATTTCTATGCCCTTCAAGTGGACAACATAATTTTCGAAAAATCGCTCTGGGAAGCGACAATTTTAATGACGCGGAGGAAGTAAAACTTATAAGTTCTTTTTTTTCCATAATACTAGAATTACCTGGTGGTATTGTGAATGCTCTAGATTTACAGTAGTGACGTTCGTGACATTCGCAACATAATTTTCATTCATCACGATTTTTATATTGCATTAAGGAGGAGGAGCTGAAGTCACATTGCGATGGAGACGATGCGAAAAAAATGTACACACACCTCAACTCAATCGTGGCTGTCTCACGCCCACCTTTCATTTGATGAAATACTCACTTGCATTGTTCTGACTTAGTGCTAGCTTGTAACTTGTTGCAGATTACATGTAGTGGCGTGCGCATCGCAATTATTATGAATTATGTGACTGTCCCTGTACTGTCTTTTATTATAACAGCCAACGTTGTATCATTCTTCTCCTATATCCCTGATGATGCTTTCCTGGGTGAAAATTCCGACAATTCATTGTACGCGGTGTAGCCAATGGTTGTGCGTGTGGTGCGAGTTGGGTGTACTGAAAATGACAGCCTACAGAAGAGTTTCAAAGTTCATGAAATAATATTGAAACGTTGATTCATGGAAATTGGCCTATGTCCATTCCCCTTGGTACTTTTGGTCGTCTTTAAAGCAGAGTATGCCTGTCTCATTCTGCTCCTCTCGTTAAGCAGCATATTATGCAACTTGCGAAATTACAGGTCACTGTCTAATGCACTTACTTCTAAAGCAAACAGCGCGAAATAGCTTTGCATTATACATCTTAACGGGACCGATGATGGATACAATCCTTTCGCCCAGATCTCCTTCAAAATCGAGCCATGCGTTGTAACCTTTATAGGGACTAGCACCGTTAGTTGTCGCACACCAGCTGAGCTCTGGAGCCAATAGTTGCATGTGTTTGTCGGCGCACATCCGTTTTGCAACCTCGTAAGACACGTTGTTGGGTGAAACAGCTTGAATTACGACTTTTGTTCTAGTTTGACCTGAGACACGGGTGCAGATTAGGTTACCTGTATTTGGCAGGTATGGACAGACATGGATGAAGACAAGAGAGCCAGATAATCCACATGTTAGTGAGTACTTGCCGCCTTTAAGGAGTAGGGCTGGAAGCTGTTTTGGTCTGTGGAGGAGGGCGGGGGGGGGGGGGGAGGGAGGGGGAGGGGGGGGGGGGGTGGGTGCCAAATTCCACACTGAGTCCCACTCCAAGCGTACCTAACCCCCAAGAGTGTGCAACTTGACTATGCTTGCCTACTCGTATAAACATACCGGTGTATGAGTGGTTTACCTGTACCGGTGTACGGGTAATCCCTCTATGGAGAGTTGTTTGTGTTCAACTAAATCACTCTGCGTTGGTTCTGACACCTCTTTCGCAATATGTAACTCTATATCACGATAATATGTGCACTGGACATGTATTGAGCATTCGTGAAAACCGAGTGCGATACCCTAGTAGCAAGAGTATTATAATTATACACTTGCCAGTGGTAGAATTATTTTTAAGCCTCTTTTGCGGGCGAACAAAACAAGACGTAGCTATGTCAAAGAAAAATGAAAAAAGGCCCAACCCCGCCCTGCCAGTTATGGGGGCTTACAGGGGTCGCCATGGAAAATAATAAAAAGTAAAATTACGCACATTCGGTCTCTCCGCCTTCTCCAGTAGTAGAATAACAGGCATATCATACAGTCAAGACGTTTCCTGACCTGGGCCTGCCAAGTACAACAGCTGACTGCATAATATGAAGTTCAATTGATGTGCAACTTCTCAATTGCACATGCAAGCATGTTCATTGATCGTGTTTCGGCCCTATATCCGCCAAAAAGGTTTGGGGCTTGTGTGACAACTGTGTGCTGAAGGGCAGTTATCTGTGTTTTTCTGAATTAGTGCCCCTACTACAGGGACCATCACATCCGTTTGCTTTGCAATGTAAAATAAATTATATGCATATAAATACATTATTGGACGTGGAGACAGCAACTTTTTAACTATTGCTGTAAAGAGAGTAGGGGAAGCAGAAAGTGTTTATCACCAAAACACCGGATATATGGTTAAAAGTACAGTTCTATTTCCAAAATCACGATTATCGTGTTCTGCTCATTGTGCCGGGCACTCGTTTTCGAATACATACAATTGTACATAAACTTGCCTTAATGCTTTGTTCATCATCAGGCAACTCCTCAGGCCTACCATGCAAAGTCAGTAGAAATGTTTGCAAAGAGTACAAACACATTGAACTGTTTGGACTATGTAGAGACTTTACAAGCTTACATGATGGAGCTTCGTGTAGTGTTCCGTCAGCCAGACATGTTGTGTCTATACCGGGTGGACGTGAAAAACCTGTATTACAGGTGTAGTGCACCTGGTCATCCTTAAGGATAAATTCATTGATACTGCCTCCATTAGCAATGGCAGGTACAAAGCAGGCGACTAGTGGACAGAGGAACACAACAACCAAAGTATTAATTCGCAGAAGTCAACATTAAGATGTACGGCTACACTCACTGAAATACCACGGAAAGTGCAAAATCCGCGACCTGGATCTCTTTCGCTAACATCACTTTATTTGCCCATGTACTACATACAGCCTTTTGTATAGCCAAAAACCACACATTCTTATCATAAAAACCCTTAGCTAAATCCGGAATAGATAACACAAAGCTGTGGGTACTTTTCAACGACACCAAACAAACAGCCGTTAAACTGGTCTGGATCTGGCTTTCCACCACGGTCACCTTCCAGAGCTCGATAGCTGGACGATGCTATGCAGACCGAGACCCACGAACACACACATTTTTTTTAATTTTTTTTGTTGGTTATGTGAATTCGGATAGCTCAACAGGACAGAAGTACAACTACGAAGAGTACCGAATAGACATGACATTGTAACTGGGCAGGTAAGAAGAGAGCCTGCAGTGTACTCCCCATACAGCGTTTATTATTACAGCAAAACCCGTGAAGGCGATCACTTTGATAAGGTGACCACCTGCCTCAAAGAACCATTGTAACCAGGATCAAGAGGTGCTATTATTATTATTTATTATTATTATTATTCCACAATCACGATGACATAGTGCCAATAAGCATGTGATGCGGGCGATTTTAACTAGCCATGGTGGGGACAACTGAGAAAAAGAAGGAGAAAAAAAGAAAACAGAACAAAAGGGGTACTCAAGGAACCTGGACAGAGCAGTATAAAGATTATGCTAGCAATGGAAAACAACGAATTCAATTCAATTCAACATAGGCGCGGGCAGAATGGAACACAACTATTAGCAGCCAAACGACCCTGGCCACATTTTGCAGGTCCCTTGAGCGGTCGTCTTGGACAGGTTTCACTGTATTATCATTATTGTTTGAGGGATTCCCCAAAGGCCGAAGCCTAAATCAAGGGGGGGGGGGTCTCCGAGAATAAATATACGTGTACAATAAGTGTACAAAATGGTGACATTTTCAAAAGGAAGAAAACGATTTAAAAAGTTAATTAAGAAATCTGAGTAGAAGCAAGCGGAAAGTGTGCCGGTAAAGAAGGGGGGTAATCAGGAAGTGAGAAAACCTCGAGGATGGAATCAATACCTGTGGAAATGGGACTTAACTTGCCGGCTAAATACACCACGGGTTGGCATGGTCATGGTGGAATCAGCTTTGGCATGCACGCCACAGAAGCGCTTCAGGAACTTGTCATACTCAGGACAGAAATCACGAGAAACCGGCGAAAAGAGGGGGGTCAGTGTGCCACGATCCACGTCAAGGATTCGTTCCACTTATTGGAGCTTCTTCTGAAGTCTGAACTGAAGAATTAGAGAAAACTGTACAAATGTGGCTGGACGTACATATGTTCAGATACTTTTTGAAGTACTAACATGCACTTTGTGTTGGGTTTCACAGACCACAACTGAAGGGGTGGGGGGGGGGACTGGGGTTGAAACGTTTTTTCATCGTTAAGCCTAGTTCACATTCGACGAGGTACGACGGGACGCAACGTAAGGATCGACGGGAAGCGACGGAACAGTCAGACGGCGTCCAATGTGAACACCAGGAATGGGAACGCAACCGTATGGAGCGGAACACGACGGGATGATTTGGGTCGATCCAACCTTTCATACCGTGGACGGGCGTAGATGGGGATGCAAGCGTACAAAACAGCTGGATTTTGAGTGTGAACAGGAGACAACATCGTGCGCCGACTACTCCCGATTTGTACTTGGAATTTGTTAGTATTTCGAACACTCCGCTTCCCATGATAACTCGCAGAGTGGCTAACATGACTTTAGTTGAATTTTAGCAAGGTAATGTCCGATGTCGCTTATGATATTTAGGGGCAGTTCAGGAGCATGACAAACGAACTGTTTTATCATTTCCTGGAGTTATTATTTCACACACCTTTCGAAGCTACTTTTTTGGTGTTCATGAAAACTGGTATTGTGAACTTGATTCCGCTTCATTCAAGGAGAATCAATCGAAAAGAAGCCCCAAAAAACAAGTAATTAGGTCCAGAAGTCATCCTGTCACGGACCGTGCTTTATGACTTGTGGAATTCGCGGTTGAACAACGCAACGACTGTCATCCAATTGTTTAGAAACTATAACGAGAGGAATTGTGGAGCGGACCTGAGCAATATTCCGAAAAGTATTCTCAAAGTTCCAGCCAAATTTGAAATATTTCAAAAACCCTACGCGTCTATAGTTTTGAAATAGACTGTAACTTCACTCAGGAACGGCAGGAGGAGTAGAGTTGCCTTCACGCTCTGTTGAGAGAGGCTCTACCGTGCCTCTAGGAAATAATCCACACAGTAGTATGTGTCCACATGCAGTCACAAAGTGTTTAGCTTCTATAGTTTTACTAAGCGCAGAGCAAAAATCCAACTCCCTCAGATTCTTGAAGTTCAAGCGCTCAGCTTGGTACTCGTCAGTCATAGGGAATGTTCCCATCCCCGCGGATATCCACTCGAAAATTCATTGTGCAAAATTGAGTGGCGTGTATGTCGGGGGTGAATTGCATTTCCACCTTCGGCGCTCCAGTATTTACTTTTCGCTCCAGCAAATGAAAACCATTGGAAAGCATAGTCCTTCAGCTAAAGTGACTTTGGATTACTTTATTAAAAGAATGCCAATAGATGGAGATGATGTGAAAACAATGTAAAAACCGGGAAAGGAGAAATACATGTAAGAAGAAAACGCGATGTGAAAAAGATGATTCGAGCTAGTTTGCATAGAGCACTCATCAGGAATGAACGTTGTACTTAGGACCCAATCAGAAAAAATGAAATTGTAATATTTTCACCTTTCAATTCCTGAAAATGGGCCTACAAGTAGGTCTTTTCCCTTTGGTACTTTTCCTATGTCTTTAAAGCAGATGATGATGATGATGTCTGTGTCATTCTGCTCCTCTGGTTAGCAGCATGTAATGCAACTTGCGAAATTACAGGTCACTGTTTAATGCACTTACCTTTAAAGCAAATAGCGCGATATAGGGTTGGAGTATTCATCGAAACGTTACCGATGTTGGATACAATCCTTTCGCCCGGTAATCCTTCAAACTTTAGCCATGCTTTGTAACCACTATAGGGACTAGAACCATCAGTTGTTGCACACCAGCTGAGCTCTGGAGCCAATAGTTGCATTTTTTCCTTGGCGCACATAGCTTTTGCCGCCTCATAAGGCACGGTGTTGGGTGAAACAACTTGAATTACGACTTTTGGCCCAGTCTGGGCATGAACAGTGATATGGGTGCAAAAGCGGATACCTGTATTTGGCAGGTATGGGCACACATGGATGAAAAAAGAGAACCAGAGACAAATGTTATAATAACTTTATTAGGATGACCCAAAGGCAAATCGCCTATCGAGGGGTTCACCGCCTTGAATTGTTTTGCTATAACAAACCAAAGAGGCAACCATAATAATAATAATAATAATAACTTTATTAGGATGACCCAAAGGCTGACCGCCTATCGTGGGGACCGTTGTGTGTGTGTGGGGGGGGGGGGGGGAATGTCGAACTATGCACAGTGAAGGGATATTATTATTATTATATGCATTCCCGTGTTGAAGTTTAGCAGCAGTATGCTGTGTCCACAGCTTCGCTTATGCAGAATGGCTTGGGTAAGAGAAGAGGGGAGAGAAAGCAACAAGGCAACCAACATCTACGAAATAGGTCACAATAACATGAAGAGAACCAACCTACATATGCATGATTGCACAAGAATGGAGACGACAACATATAATGGCTATAATCATTGTGCCACAAAACCGGTACACAGAAGATCTGTCGACAATGTAACGAAACATCAAACTCAGTTACAGTGAAGGGATAACTGTATGTATATGACCAATGATAGGGTGTACCGGACAAAGTTGCCATTTTTGGGAGCAACGGATTGGGAAGTATAACAGTATTGTGGTAATGAGTGCAAAAACCATAAGTTAGCAAGATTACATAAGCCTGGGCTATGGACTCTTGATGTTAGGGAATTCTTCAGGTGGGGGGGGGGCAACTTTTTAGGGGTAATTTTCACTACATTTTGAGTGCATCCGGAGTTTATCGGCAAGGTGGAGATGAAACTTGAAAAACGTGTTTTTCTCCGTGGGTCTCCGAAGAAGGGCCTTCTCTGGCCTCCTACATTTGAAAAAGTTGTATGAAAGGTAGATGTTATTTTCCACGGACCTGTCATTAATCGTTTTCAAATTTGTCCAAATTTCATCTCCATTCTGCCGACCAACTAAAAAATTCAGGCAATATTTTCCAGAAAAGGGTTGGGGGGGGGTGTAGCCCTTTCCCAAAGGTGCTCTTTTAATTCGCACTTAGGCCGTGATCGTTTGGTCGGATCCAGATCCATCGGATCCACTGGATCTGCAATGATCGATTGGTCGAATCCGGATCCAGATCCTTCGGATTTGGATCCGAGCAACCCTGCCCCGGGAGCAGGGTTGACTGGATCCATCGGATCCAAATGTGACCTTTGTGCGTATATGGTGGGTAAAAATCATTTTTATACTCATTGTCGTACGTCTAGTGGACCTTTGTTGACTTTTCGTACGACGCGGGCGATCAGTACGACTTGTGCCTTTTTTGGGAGACCTGTCAGCGCCATTTTTTACTTCGTCAACATGGCAACAGCCAAGGTCCGCAAAAAAGTGTTTGGTTGATTCTGAAGGATCCGACGGATCTGAGATTTGGATCTGGATCTGAATCCGACCAAACGATCATAACCTTACAGTCTGTTTCAAAAAGATTAGCAATCAAGTTTGGGTCTTAAAAAGTATGAAGATAAGGGAAATTTGGACAATAAAGTACATAAAACGGCTTGTTAGGACACGGCAAATTGTTCTGTGAAGGTTTCGGAACAATTTGACCAACCGTTAAGGAGTAAGTATTTCGGCCAGGTTTCTGGCCTTTTCCCACGGTTTATAATTTGCCCTGGAAGCCAGTATCGATTTGTTATCAAAACCCACGACTTATACCTTCCTTTTTGGCCTTGTGGTTATAAATGCTGTCTGCTGACCATGAAGTTGTGAGTTCAAATCCCAACAAATCTTCAAGTCAAACATTTTTTCGTCATTTTTTCATTGTTTTGGTGATCACGCTGGTACAAGAAAAAAGAAGGTGGCTGCGCCAAACGACTTGTTGTTGGAGCTCGCGTTTCCTGCCGAACTGACTCACACTTTACAGGCTCACGCCATGTGAAGTTGTGAGCACACACAACACTGAAACCGTGTGAGTGAACACGGAAGTCATTGCGCTGTAGCTACGTGTTGTTGAATACACCGCCACATCGATCGATCGATTTCTGTTTGAGAATTATTTTAGTATTTGAAGATCGCCAATTTATTTGAATTTAGGGGTCAACGCCGTCTTCTATCAGCTTTCACAGGCGTCTGCTTTTCTCAAAATGTCGTCGAAGTCACACGGATAGCTTTGCCACTTCAAGGCCTTGGGAATGAGTCTGTGTCGATGCCGTTTTCGTCACATCGTGAGAGTAAATTGCATCCGCGGCGGCTCAAAGAATCTATTTGGTCACAAAACGGACGCATCCCGCTCGTCAAAATTTACCACACTTTCGACATGTCCTCTCTGATTCCATATCGATGCGAGGAAGAACTCGTTTGTTGTAAACCAGACGAACATATGTACAAGTACCGACGTCCGTGAGTTGTCGTTTTTCATGCTTTCGCGTGGAATATTTCTTCAAGTTCACAGTGAGTTTTTCCAGGCAGCACTCGAGCGCTCATACGGGCGATCGCCAGGATTGCTAATCTTTTTGTACCTGACTATATTGCTTTTCGCGTCCCTCAAAATACAATGTATGCTGAAAAGGTGCTCTTTTTTCAGTGAAAACAGGCCAAAAGTGCTCTTTTTCCAGTGAAGCATAGCCATGATACATGTTCAGATATGAACCCAAGCTGAGAAAGGAATACGCAGTCTTCCATTTATTGGTCCAAGAAAAGCAAAACAGGAAGTAAAGTTCCAAAAACCCACTTTTTACAGCATTGTGTACACCGCGGTACCGGGTACAAGCTTCACCAACTTGTTGCCCCCAAAAAACGGCGTGCAAAGGCCCATATCGATGCATTGAGCACTCGGGAAATGTTTATTTCTCGTTGGCTGAGCGAAGCGAAAGAAACGAGAAATCTAGTTCTCTGTTAATATTTTTTGCACGTGCGTGCGGAACGGGTACGAGGACAGTGTGCTGTGGTTGAAAGTGCTGTTGCTGTGATTCTGCAGGTCATTGTTTTTCTTCTTGCCAAGTGTGCAGCTGCCCACCCACCCACCCACCCTGGTCAACTATCTTCTTAGTGTGCGCTGCCGTTATCCGCTGTAGTGTGTGCTGCAGACTGTAGTCGTGTGACTCATGATGCTCTGGTCTATATGCCTATAACTCTTCGCTTGGCGAGTTTTTCGTACTTCAAAAACGAAGTAGTAAAGCATGGTTCCTGAAGCCTAGCAAATGCTGAAGCTGCCGATGCCTTAGTTTTCTGCCTTATTCTGATGTATTGCTGACAATAAGTTAGGGCTACAGCGCTGGCTCTCTTCCAAGGCGCATAGCGCCATTATCTAGCTATGGCAAGAAGTCTTGTGCAGCAGGTCTGCATTCACCGCATGTTCAAATGGCTGCTGTGTGTAATAGAGCTGGGTGTGCATGCTGATGCTCGTGCAAACAAATTTGGAGCAGAGAACTGTGATCGCATGCATGAGCAAACAGATCTTAGCACTTTTTCAGCCAAAAAAGCTCAAAAGGGGCAATATTCACCAAAAAACACAGTGAACGGCGAAAAAAACGAGCTTTTCCAAAAAGGGCGAACAAATGGGCGGGCACCTTTGGGAAATAATGGATGCAGGCCCCGGGATTCATGACCACCATCCAACACTTTGGAGGTCGTACCTTCTAATATTCGCTCTCTGAGAGCTCCCAGTTGGTCTAGGAGTTTCTTCAGGACGCTTTTGTAGAGCAGTAAGCAATTGAGCCCTACTTCATATCCATAATTATTTCCTTTTCCTTTCTACATTTATTATTGGCTCAACATCAGAGTTTCATATTTCTGAAATAGTGAAGATGTTCCGCGCAATCTGAGAAGTTAAAGCCCTATGAATCCCAGCACATTTTTTAGCGCTCGAGAATAATTGAGCCCTGATAAGATCAAATCGGCCTATAGCTTTTGCCGAACAAATGGAGAAAATCATGTTTTTGCGTAATCAGTTGTGCTAGGCTGCGCAGCCAGGCGAGGAACTGGGAGCGCTTGCTTGCAAATAATTCACAACTTCAAACAGCGATCGATCACGTTTCGTTGAAATAATCATGTGTTGAGTGGGTAGGCAGAGTAGCTCACCATCGCATTAGTGAATTTCCTGGAGTTCATAAGGCGAAGCAAGGACTACTCAAGGCTGAGGACCAGTTCTTTTGGCGACTCAGAAATGGCTGTGACTACCTGCCAAAGATCTAGCCAACGAAGTAGACAAGGAGCAGAGGTGTTCACATCGACAACGCAGGATGTTGGTTTTTCAACATACTACTGCTGGAGCAACTTTGAATGCCGGGACGATCGTTAATCATCTACGTATCGGTTGTGGTTGTCAAACTCTTATGTTCTCCGATGTCGATATGAAGGGTTCATGCTAAATGTGCGTACATTATGCACCCTGAGGTGGTGCCGTCTCTGCTGTATACATGGTAATCAACAGGAGCGCAACACATGAATCTGGTGTCACTCTTGACGACAACACCATGGCATGGGAGACCGCCGGATGATCGTTCGTTAACAAACCCGACGGCGGTAACAGAAAGATCACCAGGAGAACGAAACGAAAATGGAGGAAAAACGAATCTGAGGAGAAGCCAGAGACTAGCGGAGACACGACTGAGAAAAATCGAGAAGGCGGAACCAGGAGCGGCAGCTGAAAGTACGGGCGCAGCAGTGAACAAGTCAAGGAGAAAGAAGCGATGGCATGAGGAGATGGAGATGGAGGATGATGATGGGGAAGAACAGGATGGTCAGGAGGAAAGCAAGGGTGAGCGGAAACGGGAAGTGGAGGATGAGAGTGATACTGACGAGGAGGAGTTTGACATCGACACGAGCAAGTCTGCCATCTACAAGCATTTGTTGTCCAGTCCGGATTGTCGTAAGTTGTTTGACGATTCCTGGTTTAGTGTTATTTGTTCCGCATGTTTCTTTGAGCAGTTGCAGGTGTTGGAATGCTGTATATATTTGCACACGTGACCCTGTTCTATGCAAGCAAAAAGAAAATGTTGTAGTACTCACACTTTTTAAATAATACGCACTCACCAGTTTTGTCCACACGCACTCACAGCTGCCGAATTCATCTACTGCTACCATTCTCAGAAACACTGCAAAGGTTCACACTACACGCGCTATTCATAACCACTAGCTGTGCTGCATTCTCACGCTTCTTTTCATATTACTCTAGCTATATAACTGGTTGTTTTAGTGATTCTTACTATGTGACGATGTTCCACTGATGATAGTCACACAAAAACGTTCTGGAATAGTTTCATTTTAACTGTTAATACATGGTTATGTGTGCACAATTGATATTTTTCATTGCTATTTTACGACTGTTGTCTCCTCGTCGGTTATTTGGAAACAAGGTCCTTATCTATACACCGAAACCATCGTCGTGTGAAACTTCTGCTTGTTACCGCTGCTTGTCATCCATCCAAATTGTCATAGTCGAAGTACAGTGCTGTTTTACTGAGGGGTTCGGTTTTGCATGATTCCTGGTCGCGTAGCTACTCTCTTTATTGATCTTCGCATCTTTGAGACACACAAGTTGTGTGGAATGTTACTTTTCGTCCTTGAATCGTGGTTTGACCGTATTGTCCAAGGGTTTTGCCAGTATCGTCATCGACATGCATGAACATTCGCCAATATCAAAACATGGAATGCCTGCAGTGGTCAGCCCATCCACAGGACCAAGCTTCAATGAAGAACACACGCATGCATGTTCTATACGCAGTCAGAGATCACACATGCCAGGGCATGCAGGGGCGTCAAGCATGGTACGACCAATACCACCATAGCCATACCACTTTTCATCTAGAATGGTCCGCCAAGAGTAACTGTAGAGCGCTAAAACATGATCTGGTGGCCAAAAGATAAACCCCATCCCCTCCCAGACACTTCCCGGAAATTACTTGTACCCCTCCCCCTCCCCTTCCCCGGTGACACCCCTGGTATGTATACTGTACTTACGTTGGCAGGCTGGTAATCCGCTCCAGTTACCTTGCACCTCATTTAGAGCATTGCATGTGAAGTTTGTGATGGCACCGGCCGGAACGAAGCCTACGTCGCATGCGAGCAGTGCCGTCGTCCCCAAGTATGCCCCTATGCCGTTCGCGATGCCGCCGTTCTGGACCAGTAGCGGAGAGCAGTAGCCGCGAATCGCTGCACAAGGGCACATGAAATATGTACAGTCAGACCTCACATAACTGCACACATCCTTTTTCCACAAAATATCCGGATAGGCGAGGTAATCGAACACACATAATGTACATGTATGTATGCATGCCACCAAGAGTATACTCTTGTTGACATATGCTGTAAATCGGCAATCAATGATATTGTTCTGGACGGCTTGAGATCCGGTTAAAAGAGGACCGGATAATGAGGTCTGACTGCATATGTAATCCGTGCAAAATGGTAAACATTTTCCCAATCACCGTTTTCCTTGATTCCATTTAATTTAATATAAACAGCACCCGGATATTAAGCCAGAAATGTAAAAAGGAGAAGAAACACACGAGAACGAGATGTGTTGAAGCTAGGTGTCAGGACGTCGAATGTCTCAGTTTTGGGCCTAGTTGCTGCACTTTCTGACTGTATATAGTATCTAGTTACAGTGGTGGAGAGTTACTAAACTCGTTTCCATATGTCCTTTTCCTTTCTACTTTTATTATTGGCTCAATTCCCGAGTTTCAAAAATAAACACCAAATAGTAATCCCATAGCTATGCAACAGACGTTACTTCAGTCTCGTTTGGCGCTAGCCAAGGTCCACACAGCTTTGTCACTCCCTGTAAAACGTACAGGTGCCTGTCGTGTGAATACCCCATAAGGTTGTATTTCACCGAGCGCAACTGAAGTTGCCAGAACAAAACCCAAACATTTCAGTTGAAGTTCTATTTGGCCTTTCGCATTACCATACCAATAGCAATTGTAACATACCTTGGCAGGACCTGCCGTTACCTGAAAACCCAGGGTTACATATGCAGTTGTAGGACCCAACCGTGTTGGTACACGTAGCATTGGAGTCACAATTGTGAGTCTGATCTAGACACTCATCTCGATCTAGACCACCAGCCAGGTTGAAACACAAGAAATATATACATGTATATGTAGGAGGGACAAGTTAAATTCACGTAATGGATACAGTTAGCACTACCGTATTTTTCCGGTTGAAGGTCGACCTTTTACGACTAAAAATAGAAGGAGAAAGGGTGGGAGTCGACTTACAACCGGGATTCGACTCATAACCGGGAACTATCAGTATCTTACAAAAATGACCTGCACTGCATGCACGAGTGCACCGCGTGTACACATTTTTGCCAGGTTATTGGCATTTTGTTTAAAGGATTGGGACGGTATACCCTCCAATAAGGAGTGTTTACCTGATTTGTTGATGTGTTAGTGGCAGGGAGTGGTTAGTAATGCTTCGATGGGTGAAAACTCTAAAATGCAGAATTGAGACCTCCAGATACGGGGGTCGACTTATAACCGGGGTCGACTTACAACCGGTAAAATACGGTAATACACAGCCGGTAATGATCGACACTAATTCCAGGAAATAATGAAATCTGCTAATCTGGCGTTTGAGTGTTTCTTGGTTCTATTGTAGTATTCGTTGTTGTCCTGTCCAGTGCTGGGATCCAGCGGATAATGCTCCGAAAATGGTTTGTTTAGTTCCAACCATGATGCTACAAAAGCTACTTTATAACGAGAGAGCTTGAAATTCAGGGCCGTACGCTATGCTTTTTCGCCTAGCTAGCTTGATCCTTGAAGGGTGGTGGCGTTCCTATGTATGCGGAAAGCCTCAGTCTCACGCGAACTGTGATTTTTTTTTTTTTTAGCTCATCATGCATGTTATTAGAACTGATGGAAATGTTTTTTCCATTGATTGGCTACATCAAACTTTCTCTTTGCATCCGTTCGAGAGTATACCGGTAGTACGACACCGCCATCCACCTTGATGACCTAGGCAAAAAAGCATAGGGATGTTATAATTTTTTCCATTTCTCCGATTCTTTCTCAAGACATAACCTGGGATTTGAACCCGCACTATCGCCTTTCATGCATTCCCCCGATACAATTCGCATACATACTAGTTCTTCCAAGTTGCTCCACATTATGATCTTGCATTTGAAAGCCCTATATGGATATTGTGGCAAGCTGTTCGTGGCCAGGCCCAGCTGTTTTTGCTTGTACGGTAGGGTACGGAACGGGACACGTACAGTCGAGGCTAATACGACACCGTCTACCACCTTGATGACCTGGGAGAAAAAAGGATAGGGATGTTATAAAATTTCCTCCGATACTCTTCATACATACTCATTCTTCCAAGTTGCCTCACGTTATGATCTTGCATTTGAAAGCCCTATTTGAATATTGTGGCCAGCTGTTTGTTGCCAGCTGTCTTTGATGGTACGGTACGGTACGGTACGGGACAGGTACGGGATAGCGCCAGGCATGCCAATGCCACAAACAAACAAGTAAACTTAGAAGTTGTGACTTCGGCGGTAATAGTCATGAAGTTGATTGTTCCAACTATGCAGTCAAGTGTCAAGTTCGGCAAGAAGCATGTGTTCCTAGTTGGAACAATCAACTTCAAACAAATAATCACTAAACTAAAGCTGTGTGGTCCTTGGCTTGCGCCATAAGTTACTGAAGTAATGTATTTTGCACAGCTACGGGATTTAATTATAATTTTTCGACATTACTAATAGAAGAATTTTTAATCCAGCGTATGCGCCAAGAGTGAATAGCAATTGAATAGAGCGGTTGTCAGTTGACAAACTCTTTTTATTCCCGTAGCTGTGGAAAAGACGTTACTTCAGTAACGTCTGGCGCTAGCCAGGGTCTACACAGCTTTAATTCCGTGTTTGCTTGTTTGTGCCTATGCTTTTTTTGCCTAGGTCATCAAGGTATCTCTCGCTCTGTGTCTCTCAACCTCTGTCTCTGTCTCTGACTATGTCTCTGACTCTGTCTCTGACTCTGTCTCTGACTCTGTCTCTCTCTCTCTGTGTGTCTCTCTGTGTCTCTCTGTGTCTCTCTCTGTCTCTCTGTCTCTCTGTCTCTCTGTATCTCCGTCTGTCTGTCTCTCTCTCTCTCTCTCTCTCTCTCTCTCTCTCTCTCTCTCTCTCTCTCTCTCTCTCTCTCTCTCTCTCTCTCTCTCTCTCTCTCTCTCTCTCTCTCTCTCTCTCTCTCTCTCTCTCTGTCTCTCTCTGTCTCTCTCTCTGTCTCTCTCTCTGTCTCTCTTTCTTTCTTTCTATCTCTCTCTCTCTCTGTATCTCTGTCTCTGGCGCTGGCTCTGTGACTGTGACTGTGTCTGTCTCTGTGTGTCTCTCGACCTCTCCCTCTGTCTTTCTGTTTCTCTGTCTCTGTCTCTGCCTCCTCTGTCTCTGCCTCCTCTGTCTCTGCCTCCTCTGTCTCTGTCTCGTTTACTGTCTCTGTCTCTGTCTCTGTCTCTCTCCTTCTCTCTTTCTCTCTCTCTCTCTCTCTCTCTCTCTCCTTCTCTCTCTAGCTGCAACCTGTTTTCCAGGCAGCTGTAAAACGTACAGGTGCCTGTCTTGTGAATACCCCATAAGACTGTATTTCACCGAGCGCAACTGAAGTTGCCAGAACAAAACCCAAACATTTCAGTTGAAGTTCTATTTGGCCTTTCGCATTACCATACCAATAGTAATTGTAACATACCTTGGCAGGACCTGCCGTTACCTGAAAACCCAGCGTTACATATGCAGTTGTAGGACCCAACCGTGTTGGTACACATAGCTTTGGAGTCGCAATTGTGAGTCTGATGTAGACACTCATCTCGATCTAGACCACCAGCCAGGTTGAAACACAAGAAATATATACATGTATAATTACACAGGGGGAAGTGGTCCCGTCCACCGCAAAGAGGGCTCAACAGCGCTGGGGTGCACTGGAGCTAGTACACAATGGAAGCGGTCCTCACCAAGAAAACACAATCCGTTGCTACTCCGAGTTTCTGAGAAACTCGGAGTAGCAACGGATTGTGTTTTCTTGGTGAGGACCGCTTTCATTGTGTACATGTTTAATTATGTAGGAGGGACAAGTCAAATTCACGTAATGGATACAGTTAGCACTACTACACTGCCGGTAATGATCGACACTAATTCCAGGAAATAATGAAATCTGCTAATCTGGCGTTTGAGTGCTTCTTGGTTCTATTGTAGTATTCGTTGTTATCCTGTCCAGTGCTGGGATCCAGCGGATAATGCTCCGAAAATGGTTTGTTTAGTTCCAACCATGATGCTACAAAAGCTACTTTATAACGCGAGAACTTGAAATTCAGGGCCCTACGCTATGCTTTTTTGCCTAGCTAGCTTGATCCTTGAAGGGTGGTGGCGTTCCTACGGATGCGGAAAGCCTCAGTCTCACGCGAACTGTGCATGTTTTTTTCTAGCTCATCATGCATGTTATTAGAACTGATGGAAATGTTTTTTCCATTGATTGGCTACAACAAACTTTCTCTTTGCATCCGTTCGAGAGTATACCGGTAATACGACACCGTCCTCCACCTTGATGACCCAGGCAAAAACGCATAGGGATGTTATAATTTTTCCATTTCTCCGATTTTTTTCTCAGGACATAACCTGGGATTTGAACCCGCACTATCGCCCGCACTATCGCCCTTCATGCATTCACTCGATACAATTCGCATACATACTAATTCTTCCAAGTTGCTTCACATTATGATCTTACATTTGAAAGCCCTATATGATTATTGTGGGAAGCTGTTCGTGGCCAGGCCCAGCTGTTTTTGCTGGTACGGTACGGTACGGGACACGTACAGTCGAGGCTAATACGACACCGTCTACCACCTTGATGACCTGTGAGAAAAAAGGATAGGGATGTTATAAAATTTCCTCCGATACTCTTCATACATACTCATTCTTCCAAGTTGCCTCACGGTTTGATCTTGCATTTGAAAGCCCTATTTGAATATTGTGGCCAGCTGTTTGTTGCCAGCTGTCTTTGATGGTACGGTACGGTAAGGGACAGGTATGGGATAGCGCCCGGCATGCCAATGGCACAAACAAACAAATTTAGAAAAGCGATCCTGTCAGCTTTTCTATTATTGTGTTCACATGGCAAGAAAAACGACATCGCTATGCTACGTAAGTTTCTACGAAAGGTTTTCGGTATTTCACTTAGGCTACGTAAGGTGCTCGGTATTACAAGTGTTGTAGATCTACCAACGGGTGGTAGATGAGCTGTTTCGGATATTTCGTCTCCTGGCCTGGCTTATTTCGTTTCGGCGCTGCTGAGACCTCCTTTCGCGCAACATTACTCAATGGCAGGTGAGTTGACCAGTTCCCTTTGATTCTTTTGCTTGTGTTGACTTTTTCATTTACGAAAAGTGTGCTCATTTTGGGCGGAATGCAATAAATAATGGAAAAGCTGACAGGATCTATTTTCTAAATTTAGCTTTTCCGCTGCCGAGGCCTCCTTTTACGGAATACTCGATGACAGGTGATCTCTCAGGTTGCGTTTGGTTGGGCATTTTCAGAATGTAAATGACGACCATTCTGGAATGGGAATCGGCAAGAATCACCTGACCAAACTAACGCGCCAGAATCAATTAGGAATCACTTGACATAACAATTCCATAATGTCGTTGTGGAACGGCGGCTGTCTTTTCTTTTACCCGACTCTAGTTTCCTTGAGAGAGTCATGGTACTTCTGAGTGCATGATTCGAGGCACTTGAACCTGTTGCTACATTGTTTGGCTTGTGGCAGCCATTATCATTTTTGATTCCGGAATGAGAATGCTCATTCCAGCATGTGAGGTGGAATGATCATTCTCCAAAAAGAATCATTCTCAGCGATTCCCATTCTGGAATCATGTGGAATGTGACTAACCTAACGCACTTTTTTGACCAACCAAACGGGCGAGAATGATTCCGAGTGATTCCAAGTGATTCCCATTTGGGAATGTGACGAACCAAACGTAACCTGAGTTGACCTGTTTCCTTAGATTCATTTTCTTATGCTCACCCTTTCATTTACGGAAACGTGTGCTGATTTTATTCGGATTTAGATCCATTTTTATCTCTTTGCCCTTGCCTACAGTGTGCAAAGAACGCGAGTTCACCTTCTTGACGGCAAGGCTTATTATAGATGTGTTGTCTCTCTCTCTCTCTCTCTCTGTCTCTCTGTCTCTCTGTCTCTCTCACTCTGTCTCTCTCTCTCTCTCTGTCTCTCTCTCTCTGTCTCTCTGTCTCTCTGTCTCTCTCACTCTGTCTCTCTCTCTTTCTGTCTCTCTCTGTCTCTCTCTCTGTCTCTCTCTGTCTCTCCCTGTCTCTCTCTCTCTCTCTCACTCTCTCTCTCTTTCTTTCTATCTATCTCTCTCTCTCTCTGTGTATCTCTGTCTCTGGCTCTGGCTCTGGCTCTGTGTCTGTGTCTGTTTCTGTGTGTCTCTCGACCTCTCCCTCTGTCTTTCTGTTTCTCTGTCTCTGTCTCTGCCTCCTCTGTCTCTGTCTTTTTTACTGTCTCTCTCTGTCTGTCTCAGTCTCTGTCTCTCTTATTCGCTCTCTGTCTCTCTCTCTCCTTGTCTCTCTAGCTGCAACCTGTTTTCCAGGCAGCTCACGGATACTGTAAAACATGCGATTTTCTGTGTCTCTGATTTCGGTGATTTCGATAGAGAAGCCAATCATCTAAATCTAAATTCCACCTAAAGGCACCCGGTCACTCCGCAGTGCAGCACCTGCCACCGGAGTTTCAAGTCCAGCAGCGGCTTGGCCAGACACAAGTGCGACCACACGAAACGAAGGACAGTGTCGGAAAGGGCCGACTTCCCGCTTGAGAGCCCTTGCCAAAGGAAGTTCCGACTACATCACCATCTAGTGCGCCATCAGAAGTGCTGCTCCTCAGCCTCTTCCACCCCTCTCCCCTGACGGGGACCGTGTAACCTATCAAGGCAACGTGTATCAAGGTTAGGTCAAGGTGTGGGGGTATGCGTGTGTGTGTGTGTGTGTGTGTGTGCGTGTGTGTGTGTGTGTGTGTGTGTGTGTGTGTGTGTGTGTGTGTGTGTGTGTGTGTGTGTGTTGTGATCGCTCCCACACTCGGCATCCACACAGAGGCATTTCTGATGCGGCCCTCGCCCCTGTTTGTGTTGGTTCGAACCAGATTGAGTGTGTAACGGAGTTTCGCTACCTTGGGTCGATCATCGATACGTCTGGCCGGTGTTCGAATGACATCTGCTCCAGAATTGCGGCTGCCTCCTGTGCGTTTGGCTCCCTGCGAAAGCCAGTTTTCAGCAACCACCATCTGTCTGTCCGCACCAAGAAGAATATCTTCAATGCACCATTCTGCTGTACGGTGCTGAGTGCTGGGTTCCCCTCCAAGCCAACATCCGGAGGCTCTCCATGTTCTACATGCAGTGTCTGCACACCGTTTTTGCCATAACAAGGTTAGACGCCTGGCATGAGCGGATCAGCAATGATCAGATGCTGGAAATGTGGGACGACACGCGCCCACTTGCTGTCCGGATTCGCCATCGACGACTTGAGTGGCTGGGTCATGTTGCTCGCATGCCACAAGAGTGCATCCCGAATATTCTGTTGTTCGGTCTGCTCCCATCCCGCCGTCCACCTGGCGGTCCACGCAAACGCTGGAAGGACTGCATAAGTGCAGACCTGAAGGCCCTGAATGCTGTGGAGGGATGGTACGATCTGGCAGATTCTCGCCCCGATTGGCGCCGCATGTACCGCTGTTTCGAGCCCGAACCGCCCACACCCAATATCCATTGCCAAGTATGTGATCGGTACTTCTCTTGCCCATCAGATGAGAAGCGTCACAAATGCTTGGCAGAACGGCAGAAACCAGTGTGCAATCAGGCTTGCGCTTGCCAGTGTTGTCTCTGCCAACGTTGGTTCCGCAGCCCCGGTGGATTGTCTACCCATCGGTGCGATCACGGACCTGCTCCCAACATCGAGCACCCCGGCAACCCGGTCACTCCGCAGTGCAGCACCTGCCACCGGAGTTTCAAGTTCAGCAGCGGCTTGGCCAGACACAAGTGCGACCGCACGAAACGAAGGACAGCGTCGGAAAGAGCCGACTTCCCGTTTGAGTGCCCTTGCCAAAGGAAGTTCCGACTACGTCACCATCTAGTGCGCCATTAGAAGTGCTGCTCCTCAGCCTCTTCCACCCCTCTCCCCTGACGGAAACCGTGTAACCTATCAAGGCAACGTGTATCAAGGTCAAGGTCAAGGTCCAGGTGTAATAGTTCTTCATTGAGCGAAGGAAGAAGAGAGCGTTTATTACTGAATATACTGGTTATATATATGAGAGTAGGTGTGACACAAGGTGATAAGGTGTGAGTGGTGAAAGTAGGTGTAAAACTGTTACACCATCCCCTCCCCAACGGAAAGTTCCGTGGCTTTAACCAATTGTTAATCACGGAACCCAAGAGCATGGAATACAGTAATATCATGATGGTGTAGCAATGCAGCAGGTGGCAAGGAGCAACAGAATACCCAATTGTCAGGACCGGAAGCCTGTGTAACTAAAAAAACTCAATAATGTCAGGAACTGAACGCAAATAACCACAACATGGAGGAGCTGCAGACCATGCTATCACTTGCGTAGACTAGATAGATAGTTCCGCAGCTGGACAATGTTTTTACCTGACTCGTCAACCAAGTTACTAATGGGCTCCCATGTTGCCTCGCCAACGGGGTAACCCTTCCAAAGCACCAAGTACTGGCGCTCACCCCGGTCATCTCTGTGCTTCAGGATGGCCTCCACCATATAGCGGGTGTTTCCGTCCAGATCCATAAACGGAGGGGGCA